AAATATCTCACTCACAAAAGGACAGGTGCCGCACGGTGCCACTATTGTAGAATGAGACTACATCAGGGTTGGAGTGAGACTGAGAAATATTGGAAAAATTATGTATAGTGCATTGAAACAGATGAAGAAGTGAACTGTTTGAAAGTGATATGTGATTGAGTATTATGGTTACAACAAAAATCCAGAATGAAGGTTGCATAGTCAGTGTACTCGGGGTGGGAAGGGTGGAATACTATACCAATGAAATAATTTTTCTTTTACTTTTCAAAGAGAAGAGCTAACTGGTGGGAGGGGTGGGCAGGGAGAAAAATGCAACAATGAATGAATGGAAATCCAAAATCTCTGTAAACGCTGATTAAAATTAATTTAAAAAAATAATAAAAAAACAATAAAGCAAAGACAAAGAAAAAAAAAGAAGCAAGGATCATGAGACTTTGGCTTACTTTAAACATGTCTGCATGATATGACCATTTCTTAAAAAGGACACTCTGATAAAACAGAATGATGAGAATGAGTCAACACAGTAGCTGTTGATAATAGATTCGACCATAGCACAAATCAGGAGGGTGGAGCAGGAGCAGGCAAAGCTTGTTTTCTTTTTGTTGTTGTTGTTGGGTTTTGGGGTGTTTTTTTTGTTGTTGTTGTTGGTTTTTGTTTGTTAAAGGTTTTTTAGGTTTTTTAAATTTTATTTATTTATTTTTTAATTGCATTGTATGCTACCGTCAAGTCAGAGATTAGAATCTACCAACTGCACCTGCACTGAGGGAGCCAGAGGAAACAGTCTACTCTGATGAAGATTTGCACCCTTAAAAAATCTGATGGAAGTTTCCACAGAACCAAGAGCAATTTATTAGCAGTGGGTTTAAAAAAAATAATATGTGGTGGTTTTTCCAAGACCACTCTTTTTTGCATTGAATGATCTTTGCACCGTTGTAAAAGAAGTTGAGAGCTCATTGTTTGTTTCTATACTCAAAATAAGTCCACTGCTCTATGTATTTCTCTCATCTAGTTAACTTCATATTTTGCTGGCTGATTGTTCTTTTGTTTTCAATTATCTTAAAGACTATTTACGTAGCTGAGCTACTTTGTAAGGATATATCCTGAAGTCAGTGTTAAGACATTCTAACTTCAGAAGGGTTTCCTCCACCTGCTTCTTTCCATTAGAGAGGTACACATCACTTAGAAAACTTAATCTCAAAAGATAAACTGAAAATTTCATGAGGGAGAAAATGAAGGGATGAATAAAAACAACAATCATAGAGATGAAAAAATTCATAAAAGAATGTGAAAATGCTAATCAACATAATAAAACAAAATAGGTATGAATGGTTAAATGATATATCAATCAACCTTGTAAACTTCCACTCAAATAAAAAGAAAAAGTTAAAAGAAACCCAACACTCACAAGTATGAATCATTTTTATTTAATGATCTTAACTATTCCATAACACACAACTGTGTTTGAGAAGTACATTGCTTTAATAGAATGAATAATTTAATAGAATAAACTCTTTTCCTAATACATACTATTGTTTGTATGTGCTATAGAGTTGGAACCAACTCCCAGCTGACCTTCAGTGGGTTTTCAGAGGCTGTAAATCATATAGAAGATTGTTAATTTTTCTTCCTTGGAGCAGTTGGTGCATTTGAATTGAAAGCCTTTGTGTTGACAGAGCAACTCCTTACCCACCAGAGCTCCCTAATATATATTCAGTATGGAGAGCTGTGTGTGGTCGCCATTACAAGATGGCACTGATTTCCTGTTTCTCTTTGTTTGCCTTGATCACAAACAAGACCTTATTCGGGCACAGTGTTCTCATTGGTCAATAGCTTGATCTCACGTGGGGTTAGGGATCCAATGGAGACATGACACATGAGGTGAAGGGTGGAGGACCTAGAAAGGGATAAAAGGCCGCGACCTTTCTTCTTTTGCTCTCTTGCTTCTGCCACCACCCTCTGTAACCATACTCCTGAGTAAACCGCTGTGAGAAGGAACCGCTGGTGTGTTGTGTCCTTATTCCTGCTGGACAGGCAAGGCGCGCAACATTACAGTATGTTTTATTTAATGTTATTAGGAAATTTCATATAAAATAAATTGTGAGTTGGAAAGGACTGAGACCAAAAGGGTTTTTTATTTAATTTTATTGAACATTTACAGAGATTTTGGATTTCCATTCATTCACTATTGCATTTTTCTCCCTGCCCACCCCTCCCCCTCAGTTTGCTCTTCTCTTCAAAAAGTAAAAGAAAAATTCCCCCACCCAATGTACACTCCACTATGCAACCTTCATTCTGGACTCTTGTCATAAACATAATACCCAGTCACATATAGCTTTCAGACAGTTCTCTCCCTCATCTGATCCAATGCAATATACATAATTTATCCAATTTTTCTCAGTCTCACCCCAACCCTGATGTCAGTCCCGTTCTACTATGCAGTAGTACTGTGGCACTATGTAGTATTTGTCCTTTGGGACTGAGATATTTCACTCATCATAATGTCCTCCGAGATCACTCCTTTTGAATAATATTGCATGAGTTCCTTATTTTTCAATGCAGCATAGTATTTCATTGTGTGAATATACCAAAGCTTCTCTATCCATTCATTTGTTGATGGGCACTTAGGTTGTTTCCAACTCTTTGCTATTGTGAACAAAGCTGCAGTAAACATGGGTGTGCATATATCTGTCTGCGTAGCAGTTATGGTTCCTTTAGTGTATATTCCCAGTAATGGAATTTCTGGGTCAAATGGCATTTCTATTTGCAACTTCCAAAATATTTTATAAAGCCTAAAATCCTTTTCCAGATTACATGAAAATTGAGAAAGTAAACTCTTTTTCCCTTGTATAACCTAGGGTCTGTTATTTTTTTCAAAAACCCTTTTCTCCATATTCCTGTTCCATTTGTCTAATTATCAAGAACGAGAGAAAGTAGAAGTAGTCTTTAAATTTCATTGGTAAGAAATAATATTTTGTACTGTGCTTTAAAGAAGGAAAAAGAGTTATAATTGTTTTAAAAAGAGAGAAGTACCTCTAGATTTAAATACCTTATGTGGTTAAGATTTATCAGTATTGTGAAAAGAAACTGTTTTAAGACTCAGTTGAATAAGTTGAATTGGGGAAAAATCCCCAAAAAACTCATTTTGATGTGTGCAAAAGAAGGTAAAGTACATATGAGATAGTCTATGACATTTAGTAATATCAATATATCAGAACAGATTTGTAATATCCAAGGTTCAAATGTTTTGGCAGTTTGTTGAATTGAGATGGATAATATTCCTAGACAGATAACAATCTAATTCAGCTCACAGAATTCACATTATCAGTGTGTTTATTACAAAAATTAAGGAATGTAATAAAACAAATTGAAGGATTTTCACATTTATCAATATCTTATCCAAGAAAATGAATCCATTGTTTTTGAAAAATTACAAAATGTTGAAATAGGAAAAAAATTATGAAATTTATGTATGAATGAATAACCCTTTGAAGGCTTAATTTTATTGAGAAACTCTGGAAAGTATGTTAAAAGAGAGATCATATTGAAGACTCAGCATAAGTATTTAAGTCATAATTTCATAAATAACCAAATACAAAATGTTGTGGAACTATCTGACTTAAAAATTAACATTTATTATTAATTATTTATTGTTTTCTGAGGAACAGAGGTCCAACATTAAATTCAATGTTCAAAAATAATTTTTTACATATTATCTGGTTTTAAAAACATATAAAATATTATCTAGTTTTCCTTCTTTCTTTCTCTCTCTCCCTTTCTCTTTCTCTCCCTCTCTCTCTCTCTCTCTCTCACACACACACACACACACACACACACACATTCACATAGACACACATAATAACTTTAATTTTACTTTTCTGAAATAATTATAATGACATTATAAATTGGTCAGGTCAAATATACAAATTTATAGATAATCTTTTTCATGTCATATTGATTTATTTGCCTCCTGAGACTAGATTAATCAGAAATTAAGGTAAAGGAGAAAAATGAAATTATTTTGTAGGATTCAAGTTTATAAAATAGATATTCCCATAGTGCATAAGCAATAAGCAACAAGCAACATCTAGCTCTCACTCTTGCTCATTGCTATCAAGTTGTTTATAACTGAAAGTTGACCCCTAGACAGCTTAGAAAGCTGTTTATTTCATGTAAAGAGACTGCTCATCTTTCTCCTAAGGCACATTTGGCATATTTGAACCGCTAAAGAAGTCTTTGCATCTCACACCTCCTGCCCTAGCCAATTTTGGTTTGATGGCTCAGGGCTTCCACACACCTCTATCAATCCACTGCCTTTCCATTCCCTGTGATGTTGGTGTTCCTGTACAGTGTGGGTGGGATTTCTTTGCAATTACTTACTATACACCAGAAAGCCAAACAATAACAAAGAATGATAGAAGGATTGATGCGTTTGAGTTTTGAGTTCTGGAAAAGAGTGTTGAGCATGCTGTGGACTTCCAGGAGAAAAATAAAGCTCTGTCCTGGACTTGGTGAAACCAGGTTGCTCTCTGGAGGCAAGAATTTTGAGGCTCCATCTCACGCACTTTGGGCACATGGCCAGGATGGACCAGTTCTTGGGGGAGGGACATTATGCTTGGAAGAGTGGAGGAACAGCACAGAGAGGAAAAACCAAGAAAAGATGGATTGACTCAGTGACTGGAGAAATGAGACTAAGTCTGTTGGAGATGATGAAATTGGTTCAGGATAGGGCAGGTTTCAGAGCTAATGTACAAAGGATCGCTAGGAGTCACAAGTGACTAGATGGCATGTAACAACAGCAACAACAACAACAACAAGGTTTTGGTTAAGCAGATTATACCACCACAGCTTCCTGAATAAGTGATGTAGAAATTGTTTATTTTGGGCTCTTATTTAACCCGTACAGTGCATCTCACTTGAGATTGTGTTAATCATCATTTCAGTGTCAAACATATTGGTTTAAAGACAAACACATCGTTTTTTTTTAACTTGATGTCTTCTTCTTAAGATCTTTTGACCCAAAAATCCTTAGTCAGTGCCCTGTGAAGTGCTGCTTTCACATCCTTGTTCCTCAGTGTATAGATAAATGGATTTAGGGTAGGTGTGACAATTCCATAGAAGAGAGCCATGATCTTCCCTCTGTCACGAGAATAACTAGAGGGAGGCTGGACATACATACTGATGGCTGTAAAATAGAAGAGGAATACCACTAACATATGTGAAGCACATGTATTAAAGGCTTTCCAGCGACTCTCTGCTGAGCGAATTTTCAATACTGCTCGAGCAATGAACATGTAAGTGCCCATAATGAGAGTGAGAGGAACAAGGAGCAACAAAGCCCCTAGGACATTCAACTCAGCCTCATTCACACGAGTATCTGTACAGGCTAGTTTCAAAAGGGCAGGAACTTCACAGAAGAAATGATCCATCACTCTCCGTCCACATCTTGGGGTCATTACGGTGAGAGTAGATTGGACAAGGGAATTAGCAAAACCACTAATCCAAGTCCCAATGGCCATGTGGGTACAACGTTTTTGGTTCATGATAACTGGGTAATGAAGGGGCTTGCAAATAGCAGCATAACGATCAAAAGCCATAATAGCTAAAAGTATACACTCAGTGGAACCCAACGCTAAAAAAATGTAGAGTTGTGCTATGCAGCCACCATAACTAATAGTCTTTTTTGGTCCCCTGAGGTTGACTAGCATTTGTGGGACAGTGCTTGTAGTGTAGCAGAGATCCAGAAGGGATAGATTTGAGACAAAAAAGTACATAGGACTATGAAGTTGAGCATCCAGGCGTGAAACTAAGATAATGGAAATATTGCCAAATAGGGCTAAGATATAAGCCACTAGAAAGATTACAAAGAGTGGTGTCTCAAGCCAAGGACGGTCAGAGAACCCAAGTAAGATAAAATCATTAAGTGAGCTGTGGTTATTATTCCACATTTTTGTACTGTTGAATTAAATTTCAGCTGAAATATCTAAGTACTAATTTCTGAATATGAGTATCAATAATTTAAAAAGGCCTTAGGAATGCTGAAATAAATTTTTCATTTGTTCAGTGATTTGAATTTATATGATAATTGTAGCAAAAATAATGTCATTGTTACTTATATATTGATTATAGTAATACGTTGAACCAATACTATCAATGCAGTATGGAAATATTGAGAAAATAATAAAGAAAATGGTAGCAAAATAAGTGAGGAATTTTGTTTTCTTGGTAGGTGTCTTCTTGTTACTTAATCCTTTTGGAGTTTGTTGTCTACTCTTACAGAAAGTTGCAATAATTTTACCACCAGCTGTATATCATGAACATCTTATGGTGACAACCAAGTTTCGTTTTAAACTGATAAAAAGGAAAATGGAGTTTTCTAAATAAAAGTCAATAGGGAAATCAGCTATAGAGATCAGAGCCGAGGTATCTTGACATCTTCATCTTCTTTACATTGACTCCAATAAAAAATGTCATGGAACTGGAACACTTCAGAAAATCTGTACCACAAGGATTCCTTTTACTCCTTCCAAGTTTACAGTTTCAAATTTCTTGAGACTTTTAAAATGGAAAGAGCAACAAAATAAGAAAGAAAACATAAAATTATTAAATTTATTTTTATTTAAATACATACTATAATTCATTTTGTTTTTCCATTTGTTATATTGCATTTTATTTTCAATATCAGTAATTTTTTCTTTCTTTAAATGCTAGTCATTTCATTTATTAGCTGTGTGATTTTGAAAATGTTATTTCATTTCTTTGACCTTCAATTTCCTCATTTTTAAAAGAAACTTAATTATTCCTGTTTATAAGAAGTATTGTATTGGAAGAGATAAGGGGAAGAACAATCTGAAAGGAATATATGATTAGGTATTATGTGTATGACAACAATCTGGAACAAGAAGTATACTGCAAAGTGGACTAGAAAAGTGGATAAGAAGTGGAAGGGAAGAAAATTTGCAACAATTAATGAATTTTTTTTTAAAAAAAGAATGAAAAAATAAAATGTAACACTCCTGGAGAAAAAAAAAAGTTTGGCATTTTCTCCAAAAGTTAAACATAGAAACTCCATCTGACCAGCTATTCCACTGCTAGGAATACACCCCAAGGAAATTAGGACTAAGACACAAATGGAGATTTGTATACCAATGTTCATAGCAGCATTATTCACCATTATAAGAACATGGAAACAGCCCAAATATCCAACCACAACTAAACAGATTGAAAAATTCAGACTGGAGAGCCTTATGCTGAGAGAGCTCAGTCTCATAAGGACAGATAATGCGTAAGACCCTTTTACACCATATATGGGGACCCATGGGGTGGGCAGGGAGGGAGCACAGGGATAAAGATCTGTAGGGGTGAAAGCACAAGGTTGCACAATTTGGTAGATGGAGGGAGCAGGTGAAGGAAAAGGGAGAGATTCAGCAGAAACCTGAAAAGACAGGGCAATGATGGACAAACTCCAATGGTGATTAAGTTTATAAAACATAATGCATGGGAATGATTGAATGAAACACAATGTGAGTATGTCTGGTGCAGCCAGGGTGCTCCTTGGAAGCAAGGGTAGTCAAACTTTGTCTTACTTCCTTTAGGCATGTTGTTAGAAAAGGCCATTCTTGGAAAAGAACATCATGCTTGGAAAAGTGGAGAGTCAGCAAAATAAAATTTAATTTTAAAAAAAAAGAGTGGAAGACTCTCAACAAGATGGATTGACACAGTGACTGTAAAGGTGGGCTTGTGTGTATCAGAGATGATGGAGAATGGCACAGGATAGGGCAGGATTCAGAAACATTGTGCATAGGATCATTACAAGCTGCAGTATAAGCCTTTAAACTTAGTGCTTTAGTTTCTATTGCTTTCACGTTTTCAAAGTACTCTAGCCTAATTGAGGACAGTCTTTCCTTAATCTGAGTATGATCATGCACATCACAGTTTAAGATTTCCATGTGGCCCTCCATATTTTTATATTATGGTTGTTAAGAGCTATTGCATTGGCTCTAATTGTTATCAACCTTATGAATAGCAGAACAAAACTGACTGCACTATCTTTATAATCATGGCTATGTTTTAGCTCATTGTTGTAATCAATGTGTGTTGTTTAAGATATCTCTTTTTTCTGAGCCTCTGCTTGATCAATCATAATGTCCTTCTCTAGGAACTGATTTCTCCTCATAGTAGGTCCAAAGTTTATGAGACAAAATCTCAGCATTATCCCCTCACTTAAGGAGTAAAGAGGCTGTCCTTTTTCTAAGATAGACTTCCTCATTTTTCTTGTAGTCTATTATGGACAAGTTTCAGAGGATCAAGACAGACTTTGAAGTCTCATTAGAGAGGAGAAAATTAGAAAATACCAAAATGGCTCTTGAAAAGACTCTGAAACTCGTTGCTGAGCACAGAGTGGTTAAAGTGAAGTGACTAAATTCTGGCATAGAAGAGTTTAAAGAAAGATTTCAAAAGTCTGCATGTATAGTTACCATTTGTGTTTTTTGTAAAAGAGATATTATTTACTTGCGATGAATAAATAAATCATTCCAGATCAAGACAGACTATAAAGTTGGGTTGGCCATCCAATTCTGGAATAATAGGCCTTCAAAAGCGCAATAAAAAAAAGAACAACCCCCCCCCAAAAAAAACAACAACAACAGAGGGATACTGCTGACTAGAGGTAGAGCCCTTATATTGTAAGACACTCAGAATGAGGAGGAACAGATACAAATATCTATTAATAATTGGAATTTGGAATGTATGAAATATAAATCTAGGAAAATAAGAAGTTGCCAAAACCGAGGTGAAATGCATAAAAATTTACATTATAGGTGATAGTGAGCTGAGATGATCTGGCATTGACCACTTTGGATATAATTTGTTACTGTAGGAATGAAAAATTGAGAAAGGAGGATACTGCATTTATACTAAAAAAACCCACCCAAAACCAAAATACTATTTCAAAATCTTTCCTGAACTACAATGCTGTGAGTGAACGGATACAATCCATATGCATACAAAGAAGACCTGTTAATACAACTATTATTCAAATATGCTCGCCTATAGCTAAAGACACAGAAGAGGAAATTAAGGATCAATACTCTTGGGAAAATCAGTCAGGAGAGCAGGATACATATAGCATTGGGAAAGTCCACATCAGCAACCTCTCTAAAGTTCTGAGTAAGATGCACTTGATTCGAGTCATGGTCTTTCCAATCACCTACTGTGCTCTGAGAACTAAAAAATGAATAAGGATGACAGAAGAAGAATGGATGCCTTTGAGTTGCAGTGCTGAAGAAGAGTCCTGAATATCCTCTGGAATGTCAAAAGAACAAATAGATATGTCTTAGAGAAGGTGCAATCTGAGTACTTTGAAGCAAGGATGGCAAAGTTTTATATCACATACTTGTATAGTTAGGAGATATCAAGTCACTTATCACTCATAGCAACTTTATGAACAAATGTGAAGTCTATTCTATCCTGCCCTATCCTTGTCATCCCTGATACAATTGAGCCCATTACAGCAGACACTGTATAAATCTATCTCACTGAGAGTCTTCCTCTCTTTCAATGACCCTCTGCCTTTCCAAGCATGATGTTTCTTCCCAAAGAATAACTTCTTCTAATAACAACAAATAATGTTTTCTGTCTGAAATTAAATGAACATAAAGTGAAGATTGATTAATAATAATTGATGAATGGAACACAAAAAGTTAGAAAGAATGGTAGTTAGAAATTACTGATGTGAGACATTATGCTGAGTGAAATATCTCAGTCACAAAAGGACAAATACTGCATGGTGTCACTGATGTAGAATGGGACTGACATCAGGGTTGGGGTAAGACTGAGTAAAACTGGATAAATTATGTATACTTCATTGAAACAGATGAAGGGGAGAACAATTTAAAAACAATGTATGATAGGGTATTATGGTTATCACAAGAGTCCAGAATTAAGGTTGCATATGGAGTGTACTCGGGGTGGTGGCAGGGAGAGGGTGCAGGGGGGGATTGTATACCAATGATGGAATTTTACTTTCCAAAGAGAGGAGTAAACCTGGTGGGGGGAGGGCTGGGAAGGGAGAAAAGTGCAACAATGAATGAATGAAAATCCAAAATCTCTGTAAATGTTCATTAAAATTAATAAAATTTTTTTTAAAAAAAGAAGTTACTGATGTGGTGACAGAAATGAGGCTAGATATCAATGACTGAATTTTGCACCATCAGCGATTTCTTTCAAATGAAAAAGTATCTCTTTTTTAAAAAAATACAGATGGTGACTATACATGCAGACTTTTGAAATTTTCTTTTTAAACTTTTTTGGGGCGTAATTTCTTTGGTTCACTTCAACTACTCAATGCTCAGCAGCAAGTTTCCAAGTCTCTTCTAGGAGCCATGTCGGTATTTTCTATTTTTCTTCTCTCTAAAAATGCTTGCTTTTTTCATAGATGATGTTATTCTTATCACTGTGTACAGGTACTGGTCTTTGGTAATTAGTGCTCAAAATACAATAGTGATTCTTCATTTGGTGTCTAAAACTAGATGAAATATATTGAAAGTTCTACTTTGACTCCATAGCTTTGTCTTCATAGTCTTTAGCTTCAGTGTGAATTTGTATATAATCAATGGATGGTCTACTCCAAAGTTAGCTGTCAGCCTTCGGGTGACTAATGACACTGAGTTTCTCTGTTGTCTCTTTTCACAGGGTAGAGTCAATTTTATACCTATGTATTCCATCGGATTAAATTCATAGATTGAATTGCCTTTTATGATATTGAAAATGTCATTGATATGAATAGACAAATGATATACAGCTTTTCTGTAACCAAGGCCATATTTTCCAATGAGTAATTATTTTTATTTTCAACTTCCACATTTCAATCACCATGAATTATCAATGTACCTTAACTGCATGTTTGATCCATCTCAGATTGCAGTTCTTATATATTAGATTATTTTAG